ACAAAAGGCAGATCGACACAGATGTGACACCCTGAGATGAACACAACATCTCCGGTAGAGTATTCTGTCTGGGAATGCACCACCTCAGTCTAATCAAAAGGAAACATTAGATAACCCCCAAATTAATATCATTTTAGTTTTTAAAGAGGGCCTGTATTCTTAAATTTTTTTAAAGACAATTAAAAAGCTGAGGGTTCATACCAGATTCAAGGGAAATAAGCAGCATCATCTAAAAAAATGTAATGAGTGCTCCGAGCTTGGATCTGTACTGTGCTATGAAGATGATTATTGGGTCAATTGACAAAGTCAGTACCGAATTATGACCCCTCAAAGATTTTCACATCCCAATATTTGGACTCTGTAACTATATTAGGTTACATGGCAAAAAGAATTAAGATTGAAGGTGGAAATGACGTTGCCAATAAGCTGACCTTGATCCTGGAATTATATTATTCTTGCAACTTTTCAGTTAAGTTTGAAACATTTCTTAAAGTTTGAGATAGGCAATTGGTTGAAATGTATGATAAAGACATCTAACTTTGGTGGAGATAAAAAGTAACTGGGGCCTCCCCTGGTGGTACAGCGGTTGAGCACTGGGCTGCGATGCTGCCCGCAGCCTCTGTAGCGCCAGTTCGATCCCCGGCCGCCGGCGAGGGTCCCACATAGCACGCAGACCTCTCCTGCCGTGCCCGCTGCTCCTCTCAGCAGTGTATTTCGGTCCTTCTGCCTGCTCTGCTCCCCGCTCTGGCTCTGGTGAATTCTCTCACCCTCCCGGGCTTCTGACTGTACCCAGTGCTTGTATCAATCAATCAATCAATCAATCAATCAATCTTGTATAAATAAATAAATAAATCTTTTTAAAAAAAAAAGTAACTGAACCATAGCACTGTGCTTGTCTATTCTTGAAAATAGTGAGAGTTTCCCATCCCCAGCACTGATCTATTAAGAAAAATGTAATTTTTTTCTATATTTCATTGCTCCTTTTAATTCTTGTAACATTTACTGCGGACTGCTCTGAGGCTCGTAGGACTCAAGACTAACAAAGTAAGGGAAATTACAAGATGTCTGTTCTGGAGATGTTAAGAATCTGATATGAGGAAAGGAAGACAAATAAATAGAACCTGGACTGGCGGCATGGAGGGAGGAGGCTGTGGATGAGGATAAGCCAAGGCTTGGGGTCAGGGGAAAGCCCTCTGAAGGCAACCAAGGAGACAATTTTCCTCCCAGTACCTGGTATGGAGCAGAGGCCCAGTCTTGTGGTTCCCTTCATGCTTCATCTCCTTGTCTTCAAGAAACTACAACATAAGGAGAAGGCTCCTGGAAGATACAGTTGGGAAAACAGGAAAACTGAAATGCAGCCCACCTCCCTGCATTTCTCTCTAAATGTTTCATAATCAAGTCACTAGAATTTGATTCCCCTTTTTTCCCTCTAGGTATGAAGAAGTCATCGTAAGGTTTTAGCTAATGTAGAAGCCTTTAGTTATTCAACAAGCATTTATTGAGTGACTGCTGTCAGGCACCAAGCTAGGGGGAATAAAGAAATAGGTTGTGGTTCCCTTTTGGTTTGCTTAATGGCTTAAGCAGGGACATGTTTCGGTATTCTGGGAACCCAGAGGAGGGGCAGCTAACCCTGTGAGACTTGGTTGGCAAAGCTATCAATCTGAGTCTTAAGAGTCTACATACGTATGAATCGACCGACCAGGCAGATAGAAGGAAAGGTCATTTGGGACAATGGAGACTGGAAAGAGCATGTGTGCAGGTAAAGGCAGGACTGTGAGGCACATTTGAGGGACTTCAAGGGTAGGTCCACTCTGCTGGGAGGCAGGCTAGCAGAGTGGGTGAGAGTGTAGGGAAATAAGCACATGAAAATATGTTCAACATTATTCATTAAAGAAATGCATATTTAGACCACAGTGAGATGCTGCATCACACCTACTAGAATGGCTAAAACACAAAATAGCCAAAGCTGGTGAGGACATGGAGCTACTGGAACTCTCATATATTGCCAGTGGGAGTAGAAAGTCATCCAGCCACTTAGTCATTTCTTATGAAGTTAAACATCTACTTATCATATGACCCAGCAATCTTATTTCTAAGCATTTACCTATGTGAGAGGAAAACATGTTTACATAAAGACCTGCACTTTATTCATAACTGCCAAAAGATAAATGCAACAAATGTCCATCAAGTAGTGAAGTAAATTATAGTGCATCCAGACAATGGACAAAGACTTAGCCATAAAAAGGAAAGCATTAGTGAATTATACGCAACATGGACAAATCTAAAAAGTATGATGTTAAGTGAAAGAAGTCAGGCTCCATTCTGTGTAACTCCTTTTATATATGGCATTCTGGAAAAGGCAGAATCATAGGAACAGAAAACATATCCTTATTTGGGGTTGAAATAGGGAGAGGGCTTGTCCACAAAGGGGCACAAAGGAACTTTCTGGGGCAAAAAGAAAAAGCTTCTGTAATTTGATTGTGGTGGTGGTTACATGATTGGTTTGTCAATCCTATACAGTCCTCCTCTGTGCCTCAGTTCCCTCATCTGTGTAATGGGACAATAGTAGTACTACCTCCTAAGTTTCCTGTGAAGATGAGATACTAGAGACTGCCAGACATTGCCTGACACTGTTTATTACACGTGAGCTGTTATTCTTATGGTAAGAGGGGCGAATCTGAGTCTGAAGTTCTACCACTCATAACTAAGTTTGGGAAAGCTACTTAACTTTGGGAAGTCTCCAGTAAACCTAAGTTGTGATACTGTAACCTGTCACCTGCTCTGCATACCATATTGGGTATTGACAAAGATCAGATGGGATAATGGTGACAGCCAGTGATGGCTCGTCATCGAAGGACAGATTTTTTCCCAAAAATTGGGAAAAGCAGAATCTCAGAGGATTGCCTGGATTGAGTCTCTCCGGAATTTGAGGGTCATTAACTGAGATCATGACCCGAGGAAGAACACTTCTGGAGTTCAGTTTCAGACAGGATGAGTTTGAGACACTGTAGGACATTCAGGTGAAAATTTCTACGTGGCAAATGGAAGTAAGTGCATAGAGCTTGGGGAGAGATGTCGAGACTGGAGACAATTTAAAAAAATATATTGATGAACCCATGGTATCAAAATACACACTAAGTTATCCAAGAAAAACGTGGAAGGAGAGAAAAGAACCCAGGACTGAGCTCTTAGAAACACCAATACACGAGGGCGGACAGAGGGCAGAAGCCTCAGAGGAGCTGAAGGAGAGAGGCCCAAGGCAGAGGTGCTGTAAGGGAAGCAACTGAATTCCACAAACAGCAAAACAGATAGGGGCGGTAAGTATAAACATGAATTAAAAAATAGTAGAGTGGACAAAAGAGTAAAGCAAATGAGTCCAGAGAGCCAAGTGCTACCCTCAGGGTAGAGAGCTAATAACAGAGCTTCAGAAGAGAGATGGTGGAAGAGTGCCACCCGGAGCTGAGCACAGTGAATAAAAGAGCCGTACCAAAAACACCCATTGTTGATAAATTCCAAAACATCAGAAAATCCTAAGTCTTTCAGAGGTTAAAAAAGAAAATCAGTCAACAGGTACAAGAATGGGTGCCAAAGTAATGGATGAATGTTTTTAAAGTAAAGAGAAAATTATTTCCAACCTATTCTGAATATTTCATGTAAGTGGTATTATTCAATATGCAGAAATAGTCCTTTTATGACTGGCTTATCTCACTGAACATGCTTTCCAGACTTGCGCACATTGTAGCACTTCATTCTTCTTTATGGCTGGATAAGATTCCACTCTACGGACAAACCATGTATTGATTATCCAAAATGGACACGGGTCACTGGGTGCACAGTATCCAAAATAGACACTGTCAATGGGCACGGGTTGTTTCCATCTTTTGGTTATATGGAATAACACTGCAATGAACACCAGCATACAGGTATGTGAGTCCCTGTTTTCAGTTTTTGGGTAGATACCTATGGGTGGAATTGATCTCTAGATGGTAATTCTCTTTAGCTTTCTGAGGAGACTCTGGGCAACTTTTCAGCCATAGTTGATAAGAGGCCAGTAAATTAGCACCATTATGTCCCCTGCAATCCCTTGCAGAGATCTGCCATCAGCAAGCACTTCTCAGCATTAAAGTCAACTTCTTCTGTACTGAACATTAAGTACCATCAAAAAGGATCAGAATTGGGGCCTCCCTGGTGGCACAGGGGGTTTAGCACAGCACTGTGAAGCTTTTTGCAGCCTCTGCAGTGTGAGTTCGCTCCCCGATTAGGGAGCTACCCACATGGCGCAGCAGACCTCTTCTGACTCGCACACTGCTCCCCTCAGCAGTGTACTTCGGTCTATCTGCCTGTTCTGTTCCCCTCTCTGTCTCTGGTGACTCCTCTCACCTCCCACACCTCTGGCCTGTACCCCAGTTCTTGTAATCATAAATAAATGTTAAAAAAATCATTTAAAAAAGTTAAAAAAAGATCAGAATTGAGATAATTGACTTAGAAAATAACCTGTAAAATGAGTTTTTAGCATCATAAATGATGTGTACAACAAGAATAATAATAAGCCCTCTGAACTTTCACATGACACTTCAGAATTTCCGAAGATGTTTTTCTGGGAATGGGATTTTCTCTCTTGCCCTAAAAATAGGTAAACCTGGTTGAACTTCAAAGACATTAGACATGTATGTGACTATCTGAAAAGACTGAATATACATATATAAAATGCCTTATCTACCAAAAAATTAAAGAAAAATACCAAAATGCTAGTAAATTATGAATTTTTCTTCCTTTTATATACTAGTCTATGTACTTTTATAGTCGGGGATAAAAGGTTTTTTTAAAAAAAAGAAGAGGAAGAGGAGGGAAAGAAAACCAAAAAGATCAGCAGGAAAATGAATATTGTATATATAATAAAAAATGATAAATCAATAATTTTACTAAAAAGTCAACACAACACAAGCTTCAGTAAGCTTACTTACCTTTTATGATGCGGGAGGAAGAATGGCAATGGGTTCAGCTCCCCTGCACTGTGTTGAAACAGGCAGTCCTAGGAGGTAAAGCTTGTTTACATCGATTTTAGTAACAGGTATACAATGGATATCATTAGCCACATTTTTTAAAAGAATGACTTTATTCTATAAAATAATACAACATTCATTATATTCAACCGATACAGAAAAGCAGTCATTCATAATCCCACCACTAAAAAATCACCAGTGTTAACAGTGGGTGGACATGTTTCCAGACCTCTCTATTCATATATACAGACAGGATTGATGGTGGGAATCATTACACTTTTTAAATTTTACAGTGAAGTTTATTTGATGTTATAGAAAAAAATTTAGAAACTGAAGGGGCTGAACTTCAGAAAAATGTCTCATCATAAGGGCTATTGGTTCCTAAATGAGCTACCACATAAGCCAGTGACTCTCAGGTTTGAACCTGCACCAGAAACCCCTGGAGGATTTATTATAACACATTTCAGGGTTCTACCCCCAGAGCTTCTCATTCAGTTGTTTTGGGGTAGGGAACAAGTTCCCAGGTGACACTGATGCTACTGGTTGGGGACCTCACTTTGAGAACCACAGTGTGAAGGACTGAAAAACTTAAGGCTGTTTACTTGCTTTTCTGTATTATGTAATGCTAGGCATTATAACTTGACATGACACCTGGCCAAGAGATGAAGCGGCGGTGAGCTCGTCTTCATCTCACTTTCCCTCCTGGCGCCCCAATCCATCAGTGTACCGGAATTCTACAGCTGTAATCCCTGTTTTCAAATCTCCTGTATTTTAATGGACTCAGAGCTCATAACAATTTCTTTTACTGGAACTTTGTTGGGCAACCTGGTGTCCCTTCTCTTCTGGGTTCCCATTAAATGTCCAGAATCAGGGTTCAATGGACCCAGTCAAATGCGCATCTTATCCTGCAAGCTTTGGCTTCCTGGGAAGTGCCTGGTCCTGGGGAGTCTTGCCTCTTCCACTGAAGCCTTCAGACATGGCAAAGACTTCACCTTCCCTGCAGTCCTTGTGACCATACTGGGGTCATCATCACCAAGACGCTGTCCACTCTGGCTATTTACTCAGTGTTTGCTTCCTGGTGTGGTTATTGCTGGCGAATTTGTAGCTGATGATGGTTGAGTTTGCTAGATAATGGCAAAAAGTTTCTGATCCAGCTTCATTTTTTTCTGGTTCCACCTGGAAGTATCTCGTCTTTCAAAAAAAAAAAAATTGGAAAACAAAGGATATATTGGGTAAAATGGGGTCTGTAATTATACATCCACATAAATCATAATGTAAAAACTTTTCTAATAGAAAAGAATGAAAATGTATTCTCCAAAATACAGCAGTTTTCTCTGCAATAATTTTACGGGTGATTTAAATTGAAATTTATATTGATAAAATTGTAGATTTACATGCGGCTACAGGACAAACAGAGATCCTGTGTAAACTTTACCCAGTTTCCTACAAACCACAGATACTAAAAACAGTAAAACCATAATAGAATAGTGCCTTCTGAGGTTTGTGAAACTAGTAAGAAAGAAATGCGTCCAGGGAATGCTCAATCAGGAATGCTACATTTCTCTCAACCTTTTACATCTATGTCCAGTCTATTGCTTAACAATCTATATTGCAATTCATTATTTTGTGAATCTCCTCCCCAACGGCACGAGGTTCCTCAGAGCAGGGACTATCTTCTGTCCTCCCTAAGCCAGAGAAGGGCGTAACACACAGAGGAGGAAGTGGACAAGAAATGGTATATAAAATCAAAGACATTTCTCTTCTAAAGTCTGATGCATTGGAGAATTCAAATTGTTACCAGTAAAAACCAACCAACAAAAAACTGCTGTGGATAGCCTTTTGTTCATCCTCCATGTAAAAATTAGATATTTAGTTTACTAAACACATTCTATTTATTACTCATTCACTCAACTACTATTTAATGAGCTCCTACTACTACATGTCAAACAGAATGGGAACTGGTCAACAAAACATACATGGTCCCTATCCTTACTTCATACTCTGAATTATAAAGTCTTTCTCTTTAGCCCTTAGCTAGATCTTATGCACCCAATGTTTTCCTAATATACACATGCTACAAGTAGGCATTTTGCAAATAACATGCTTTGCATTTTGAGACACTGCCAAAAGTATATCCAAGTATGTCTAAATAAGAACTCAGTTGTGGGATGATGAATATTGAATCAACCATCTTGCCCTTAAAAAATGCTACAGTAACTAAAAATAGAACAATGCTGTTTACCAAGTTAAAATTTTACATTTTAAAGTCCATTTTCCCTATCAGACCGTACTATATAAAGGTAGACTCTATGTATCTTGCACGCTTAATCACTGCTGTAGTTTTAGGATGGAATCTGTACAATAATTATGTGTTAGCTAAATGTTAGGCTCTTTGTTCTCCCAAGATATGGGAATAAATGAAAAAAATATTTTAAAATTTAAGGCAGATGTTATGGGCACCTAATACAATATAACAGTTATCATACCACTACCATGTACATGCATTTCATTCTTCCCATAGTGGAATGTTTGCTTGGAAAACCTGACCTATGAAGATGGTACAAAGCATGAGATGGGCCATCTACCTAAATTTATTACCTGATTTTAATTAATCAAGTGCTCTTGCCCACCTTTTGGCTGATCCACCAAGGAAATGGCTCCCTTATCTTTTAAGTAAAAGAAAATTAAAAATTTGTAGTAAGATATTTTATAATCCCGTCATGAAAAATCACGTTCTTGCCAGATTTTGAAAGTTCTACCTCTGCAAGTGCCGAACACTATTTTATATCAACAGGTTCTAGAAGCCTCATATAAATTAAATAATGTTCTCATAAACTGACAAGTTTTTCAAGTAGAAGGAGCAACAATATTTTATTACAAATAAATGTTTCACAAAAACTTAACTGAAAATGTATACTACTATAGGCAGAACACAGAAAACAAAGAAATAAGGTATTGGAATCTAAAATTTCATTTAAATGCAATCAATTTTATCTTACACAAAGTAGGTACTCAATACATATCAACTGAACTGAAAATAAACACTCTGCAAAATGTGTAATGCTGTAGTAGTGAAGTACAATTTCTGAATGAGATTTTGTCTGTCAGAGGTTTAAAAAGCCTTTAAAAACATTATATGCACAAGCTTGCCCTGAGGGAAAGGTGGAATATAGATTATAAAATCTTTACATATTTTCCATAATAGGATTTTGAAATTGGAAAAGAGCAAATCATTGTGGAAGACCCTTAATAAACCAATTAATAAAAATTCAGTGCACTCACAACTACCTGATGGAAATTTTGAAGCACCTTTTCATTAACCTTCTAATGTCATACCATGAAACGTATGAGTTATATAGGCCTTAGTCTTCAGAAACTTAAGAAAACTTCAAGTTATAAGCCAAAATGTCATCAGGTAAAGAAAATTCTGGTATAAAATTTGCTACCATAAGGCCACTGTATAAAGTCCACGTACAGACACTATACAATTTAGATACTTTTGTTTTTAATACATAAGCAAAATTTCAATATATAAATGTCTGGATATAACTCAGTTCTCTCTATGAAACCATGCTCAGAGAAAAATTCATCCACAAATAATGCCCTTTTGAGACTTTTTGCAAAAAAAAAAAAAAAAAAAAAAAACAAAACAAGTTAATACAACTTTTAAATAAAATACTGCAATTTAAAAGCGAAGATTAAGTTTTAAAAAGTTGCAGCATTCCACTACGAAAAAATAAACTTTTTTATCAAGAAAATTACAGTATTAGTGCTTTAGTGCCAATTCTAACTCCTGACAAAAAGAGATGATCCCCAATAGCGTCCTGTAGTGTCAGTTCCATTTGCAACAATTCCAGATTAGATTGCCGTGGCAACGTTTGTATATTCCTATTGAGAGAAAACAAGAGAGATACAGACTTCAAAAGAAGCATCAGTTATAACATATGAACTAGTTTTTTGTTCACACTACAATTTTCAAAATATTTTAACTTACATAGTTTACTTGTACCCAAGAGCCCCACAAAAGTTATGTGGAACCCCAAAGATACAAACTAGCAACAGAACACATCAAAGTGGATATAAAATGATAAATCAGTAGGACAAAGGAAATCATGGCACTCCATATATGGGTATTAGTAAGCTGATGAAAATGGCACTCTATTTTGAGTGAGTTTCACTGGGGTCATTCCTGGCAAAAAAATGAAGACTCTTAAACCTTAGCCCCCTCAAGCACAGAGCCTTATGTAACAGAAATACAATCTCAAACTGGTATTTTATCTTTGTCTTCATATGGCATCTTTAACTCTAAAACTATATGGACTCTTCTATTTGGACTGAAAACAGCAAAGAAAGCTATTACAGGGAGGAAAGCTTTCTTGCTTTTGGACGGTTACCTACAACATAGAAAGATGCACGGCCTCAATAAACACGGGAAAAGGAACTCACAAAAACAAGACTATGATCAAAGGGTAATGAATATGGACTCTATACTGTGATGCTATGCAAAAATTAAATTACCGACTTCAAACTAGACATGAGACCATGCAACCAATAAAAGAGCAAAAATGGAAGAATGGTTATGTTTTTCAGGGTCATCGATAAATTTATTAATACATATATCCTTACCTTTCACTAGGATCTTATATTATTAAAACTGCAAGAAATTTAAAAGTTGGTTTATTTTTTGGCATTTTTATCAGTATGGAAATGTTTAATTCCAAACAAAAACAGTGCTAATGGAAAATTCTTATTCTATTTTGGTAAACAAAATGTTCAAAATATATGCATATATGTTTTTGTCAACATCATTCCTTTAAAGAGACAAATTTTACTGTATCCTATTTCTTTTACTCATTATATAAAAATCATCTATGTTGATCTTCAAATAAAATATCTACTGTCTACTAACAACTTTAAAAGGAAATTCTAACTACAATAAGTCTAAAAAAATTGTCAGCTGAAATATCTTGTAAAAATGTGCAATTATTTTGAATCATATTCACCCTTGACATTGCTTCTTCCACACCATTGCTAAGACTGATCCCGCCATTCTTCCAGTTATTCGAAAGCCTATTTTAAGCAGAGCATTGAGCTAGGTATACGAGCACTACCCTCTTCCAGGTAGCTTACAACCTACCTCTAAGGAGAGAGGAGAAATTAGAGCACTTAACACTCATTCCCTGACCATTCCTAACATGCGTTCGTTTCCTCCTCTCTTTAGGTATTTACCATCTGTGAAATTAAGCTCTTCAAAAATGCAGCTGTGCCAAAAAAGAGTGAACAGAGCAGACCTGACTGCGGTGTGTGGAAAGGCCTGCTTACAAGGGTGGCCCATGGCTGGTACCTGGGACTCAGCTTTCAGGGGGGGTCCCTTCATGAACTGATGAGTGTCAAACCCTCAAGCTATGTGGTCTATGCTGAATGCCTGCTTTCTTCTGAGAGTCTGGAATGTGGGTGTGTGCCCAGCAGGGGCTGCTGACCCCCAGTAAACACCCTGGGCACTGAGTCTCTAAGGAGCTTCTCTGCTGGCAACCTTTCACGGGTGTTGTCACGGTTCACGGCTGGGGGAAATCGAGCCATCCTGTGTGGGAAGGAGCTTGGACACCTGCCCCAACACCCCTTGGTATTGGCCCCATGTGCCAATTCCCTTTGCTGATTGTGCCAGGCAGCCTTCTGCTGTGACACATCGCATCCATGAGTGCTACCAGATGCTCAGTCCTCTGAGTCTTCCTAGTGAATCATCAAAGCTATGGTTGCTCTTGGGACCCCTGACACAATGATTGCTGTTTACTAACTTTTTAGAACTATAGTTGGATGTTTGTGAGTGTGTGGTATGTATGCATGTATGTGTATGTGTCCACATAAATGATCAGATTTGATGCCCTTCAATAAGCATTTTCTAAAGACTATGTAAAAGGCAACAGGGGAGATGTAAAGACTAATAAGATATCCTCTATTCTCAAGAAGTTGATCATATATTTGTGGAAATATGAAGATAAGCCACAACAGTTAGAAACCAGATGGAATGTGCTAAAGAGGCAGTTAGGGTAAAGTTTTACAGTGGGTCTTTAAAGTTAAGCAGGGTTTAGTGAGAAAAGAATGGAGATCACAGGGCTATTTTTAGCCAAGAAATCAGCAGGAACAAAAGTACAAATACATGAAAATATATGTTATGCTCCAAAAGGCAGAGGGTTCATGGAAGAATATGCTTAGAAAGGTAGCTTACAGCTGAACCTGGCTAACAATTCTTTTTTTCATAGGCAACATAGTCCTTGGAAGGCATCTGTGCAAGAGTGGTATGATTCAATCCAGTTTTGATTTAGCTCATAACTGCGCTAGTAGTGAAAGGATAGAATAAGAAAATCAGAGGCAAGGAAACAAGTTAGAGTCTTCAAAGATCCCCCCAAATAGACCAGGGATACATAAGAATGTAGCATATAGTAAACATGACATTTTCAACAGGTAGGAAATGACAAATTATTGAATAAACAGTATTAGAAAAACTATCCATTAGGAAAAAAATTAGATCCTGACCAAATGTTCTATCATAAAACATTACACAAATGAATTAAATATTTATGTTTAATAAAGGAAACACAGTAAGGAATTTTTATAAGCATAAGCATGACATGAAATCTAGATACCACACAGAACAAAACTGACAGAATCATGACACAAGTTCTGTAAGTTGCCATAAACAGCTGAAAAACATAAATACCAGCCAATTGTATGACAGGGTAATAATACCCTCATTAGATCAAAAGCTCTTTCAAATCAATAAAAGAAAGTACCATCCCTCAAGAGAAATAATGGCAAAAGTGTAGAAATAAAGAAATTGTGGGAAGAAATACAAATAGCCAGTAGACACATAAAAATATGATCTGGTCTTGTCATTAATCAAAGAAAGGCAAATGAGAATTTTAATGTTAGAGAGACAGAGGATAATAAAGATTGATAATGTGGAGCACTGGCTAGGGTGTAGGTAAACAGGCCATTTCATGTATTTCCGGTGAGAGTATAAATGTGTAAAGGGGTACTATGACAAGGTGCCAAAATATGAAGGACCCACATAGCATTACTAAAAATGAACACTGATAAGCCATCCTGAAGTGAAGCACAGAGGCCTGGTGAAGTCAGTTGGCTATCATCAAACTGGGGTGAGCATATCCTTAAGGCTATTTGAAGACTTTCCAAGGAATATGTAGATATAGACAATTGGAGGGAACTAATTTCAAGAGCCTCAAATTTTCAATATTTGCTTTCCAAAATTAACCTACCCACACAATTGGTTAAGGCTGGTTTCCTCCTACTTTATACAAGAAGAAAGATACAGCATCTCATCCTGAATCTTAGTACTTTGCATCACCTGTGGTTCCCCCAGAAAGAGGCAATTTGAGATACTGGTAATGGTATCACGAAAGTGTACCAACCCAAGCAACTAGTAATAAATAGCACATCTCTTCAAGTCAGAGGGTTTTCTATTCTCTGCCTTTGTCTAATAAATTGAAGGAGGGCAAAATTGTGCTGTCAGAGATAAAACAATGAAAATGTTTATCTGCATACTTAAAAAATGGATGGAGTTAATTGCCAAATTCCTATGGTGTGTAGATTCCATTGAAGAGATTTCAAAGAATGATGTAACAGTTTTAAGGCTCTCAATATTTATAATATGCCAGAAATTATATCCTTATAACATAAACTTATGATATAAAATATGAAATACCAACCTAAAAAATGTTCAAGAAGGTAAATAAATTTTTAACATTTTAGCATATGTAAGCAAAAAAGTTTAAGAGCACTGAAATAAAGAACACATTCACAGAGTGGAATATTATGCTACCATTCAAATAAACAGACAGAATGAAGTAATGAATGAGTGATAGAAATAAGTAAATTTAAAATGGCTAAAGTTGGAAGTAGGAGGAGGTCTGGTAGGACCAGTCTCTAGCTTGGCTGGCTAGCTGTGCGAGCTAAGGACCAGGAGAAGAAACCAGTGGTCTGGGGAGGAGAGCAAGTTTCATTTTATTTCTAACAACTTTAATGAAATAGAATTTACATGCTATACAGTTCACCCATTGCAAGCATACATTGTTTTAGTATAGTTTAACATTGTTTTAGTATATTCACAGAGTTGTGCAGCCATCACTCACCACAATCAGTTTAAGAATGTTTTTCTCACCCCAAAAGAAACCTCACAGATTTTAAAGAAACCTTAAACTGTTAGCAATCATAAGCAGCCCCCCACCCCCACTTTCTGTCTCTATGGCTTGGTTTATTATGAACATTTCATATAAATGGAACCATACAACATGTGGTCTTTTGTGACTGGCTTCTGTGACATGGTGTCATATTTCTAAGGGTCACTCATGCTACAGCGTGTGTCAGTGCAAGTTGGGTTTTGAGCATGCAAAATGTAAGGGCCTTCACACCCATGTGAGGGTGTCTGGAGGCAGCTGAAAATCTGGAGCTCTGGAGAGTAATTAGGGCTGAAGACATCAACAGGTGTAAAGGGTGAAAAACCTTGTTTAAAGGTGACAAGCAGAGAAACACACAAAGAGAAGAAAGAAAATGATGTTAGGGAATGCTAACACAAGTACAAATAAGACAGGGAAATCAGAGAGGTAGGCACTAAAACTGGAGGCTCCAGACCACAAAGGTTTGAAGATGATAAATCTGCTCCATAAGACTTCTTTTGTACTGGCACACTTCAGCACAAGAGACACAACAGGTGTATTTGTTGATTTACCTAACCTTGGTTACTGTTCTATCTTTGTATTTATTCTATGACTTTCCAAGTTTCTTTCAACCCAAACATGAATCCCAGTCTCTAACTTCCTTCCTGCAGTGTCTTTGTGCTTGCTCCTGTGTCCATTTCCTGTCCACAGACAGCTCTGGTAGGCACCTGGCTGACAGGCACGTGAGGAGTCCTGGAGAATCTATGTGCTAAGGAACTTCCAGACAAATTACACAATTACTGTTTTTCAGAGGCAAAGTTCCCAGAGATGGCTTCATAAATTCTTATTAGGCTCTTTGTCCTATTTTGGTACATAGTCAGAACCTCAAGGGTCTCTGAAAACTTTCTACCATGAGCAGAGGACATCTGATGAGGGCACTTGTGAATGACAGTAGCTGAAAGACGAGTCTTATTCCAAGGAGTAACAGACATTCCTCTTGCCCCTTCATCTTCCAGCCCGAGCAGAGAATCCAAGAGAAAGGAAACACAGTAAAAGGGAATCTGGGTGCCAGAATGGGATTAACAAGACAAGTGCATGATGGGTGAGGTGAAAGAATTCCAGCTGTGCGCTTTCCCAATACTACCTGGTAATCATACTACTTTGCAGGCAGTTGAAGTGTCAGTTTTATGGAAGCTGTACTCCTATCTGGTAAGTGGGCAGAGGACATATTAGAAGAATATCTAGGATCTCCCCAACTTTCCCTGAAGGTGTTCAGTGTTGGAGACAGGAGGCACATAGTCTGATGGCACAGCAGCCAGACCATACTCAGATAAGTGTCACCAGACCTTCAGGCCAGGAATGACAGGCATGGGCATTTCAATTCGCCAGAGGAGTGGAATCCAGACAAGGTTGACCTAAACCTCCTTGGTTTAGACAGGACTTTGAGGCATGTGGGAATATGTAGATTCACATCTAATTTTAAACTCAAGAGGTTCCAGTCCACCTAGATTAATTAGTCAATCATGTAGGGTGTTAATAGTCAAGTACCCGATTTCATCATTCACAGAGTGGGGCCCGTTCAAACACAAATCTATAAAATGTGTTACTGGCTTGCTTGCAAGCACTAATGGTAGCCAATCTGAAAATGTCCATGTCAAAGTAGTTACAATACAAAGATAAGTGAAAGGGTATTCACAAGGCAGACCCAAGAAAAATAGCAGATACTGAATTTTTAAAAATCCAGCTTTAGGAACCACTTCTAAAGGATCCAAATAACAGCAGAAGGCAATGGGAGAGTGGGACCATGACTTTCAGTGAGCCCTAACTATAACTGCTACATTTTAGATGACACAAACATAGACTCTAAAGATATTGGAGGCCAATATAGCAGGTTGTGGCGCTTTCTAAGACACACTTCTGATGTCCTAAGATGAAACCCTGATGTCTGGCTCCTATTTGCTGTTCAGGCAGGATGGTCAATGTGGTGATTAGCAGGAATTGGGCAAGGTGAGGCAAAGAAAAGAATGACAAAACAGAACAAATTCGATGAATGTTCAGAAACTACAGGCTGAGGCAGAAAGTCAAATAAGCATTCAGGAGCCCCAAATCATTTTAAAATAGAGGTTAAAATGGAGTTAAATGAAGCTAGCACTCAAAGGTTAGCACAGAGCTAACTGGAAGAGAAATACAACACATATCTGAAATCCAACCATGTGCATGAGGAAAGGGCTTGCCTCAGCCTTCCCCCTGGGATGGAAATCAAAGACAAACTTCCCCAAGAACAGGCAGGCTGCCACCTGTGATTGGGGACAAATGCCTACAAGATCTGCTGCAAAGAAACCTGCTGCACTAGACAGGAAGAGAAACAGCACCCCAATCCAACAGCAGGGAGATATACAAGAGGGGAAAATGAGTCCAATTATGCTCACATTTATAAAGAAAAGATGGCTTTCCTGGTAAAATTAGAAACCTCTTCTAAAGTACTCAGTTAAAATTAGGGGGTGAGAATGACAGAAGCTGTTTGCCAAGGGTAAAAAAAAGCTAACGCTAAAAAAAAATCAGTTGTCAACTCCAGTTGCAAATTCAATGTAAAGGTTTCACAAGCATGAGTATTTAAGGAAACATTTATGATCAGAGAATTTATAAAACCACAGTTGGACTATTTGATAGCAATACTAAACACACATACATTTCTCAGAAGAAATATTAGCCCAAAATTATTAATAAAAATGAGTCAAGGAATTGACAAACATGCCTCACTTCATTGATGTAATGCTACTGTTCTCATTTAAAATGTAGCATGTAGAAAGTAATTTTATATCATATTCATAATGCATTTTCAAGTACCAACATGGCAAATTTAAGTAAAATCACCCACAACTAAAAGAGCATGAAATTCAAATTATCAAGGAAAGAAACTTTTATTAGTTAACATTAAGAGTGAGTATATACTAGTGATGGTTGCACAGCATTGTGAATGTTAATGTATACTTAAAAATGGCTAAAGGCATCTTTTTTGCTAGATATATTTTATCACAATAAAGAAAACACATGAAGTAAAAGAAGAATTAGTATATTTTGCAATTATGTACCCATTTCACATAGTCAATTCCATATTTTTTGGTACTTAGATAATTCACATTGTAAAAGGTTAAATTATATCAGTTAAAAGTCTTTACCTGAATTTCCATTTCAAAGATTAGTCATACAACAGAAATTTAAAAGTAAAAAGTTAAAAAAGCTGGCATAGTCAAAGTATTTGAGGTATAACAGCTGAAAGCATTTTAAGATTAAATAGTTTCACAATTCTATTGCCATTATTCCTTAACATTTTTCTTCAACTATCATTCAGTAAGAACATTTTTTTAATCCAGGTTGTTAAATCAAAATTAAATAAAAAACCCAACTTATCTATTAAACATAGCTAATTTAGGAGTTCAAAAGTCACTCAACATTTTTAAATGATCATAATCAAACTAACCTTTTTTTTCCTCAATAATTTCTCTCTGAATTTATTAGTGATAAATCCCTTTTGACCAGTGAACCGTAAACGCTGATATTTAGCCTGAATGTACAAACTCTTCTGTACTAGGTCTGATTTAAAATGGGGCTGGAGCTTGCCACCTCTAAAGTTGGTCTGTAAAGGAAAAAATAATTAAATGTTAAAACCATAGCTTCTAAATCTACTTTATTTGTATAAGAAATGGAAAAATGTCCAGTACTTAGAGCTGCCCCTGGTTCCAGACACTACAGGCGTTACAAGGGAAGAGGTCAATGATGTAATAAAGTTACTTTCCTCAAATGAGCTTCCTACCTTAATTTTATATAATAATAATTTTTATAATAATTAAAAACATTTTACATAAAACCAATTTCTTAAACTGTTAAGTTAAAAAAAAGAAATTCTTGAAATGTATCATGTTAAGAAAAACACAACTTTCAAATTTGTAATGAGCTAAAATTATCCCTCTGATTTATAGTGAAATATATCAGTTACCAAATTGGGGATTAAGGAATTGAGTATCAACATCAAAACTCTTATTTTTGTCAGTACTTTTGAGCCAATCTTTCTTTACCATATAAATTCCGTTACAGCAAATATTTTCAAGATGAAAGTTATACTTAAAAAGCTCTTTCCTGGCCTGCATGCATGTTATAGTCCAGTATTACAAAAGACGTAAGAGGACAGTGAATATTTATGTTTCCCAAGTGGGAAATGTACAAATGGTATATTACCATGGAGTAATTATTAAAACTACTGGAGATTCCTCTTTCCATGATTATTTAAAAATGAATGCATCATGCATAATGAATCACATAAATTTATTTAAAAAATAATTATGCCAGGCCTCTTTTACAATTTTCTTCTTAAGGCTATATAAAATTTCAGGTTAAACAGAATTATAATGAGATACTGTCATTCTGTTAAAATTATCTGCATAAACAATACATCAGAGCTAATCTTGAGATTTACAAAGTCCGTTTTTACATTTCTAATATGATGATTACTATCTGGCTTTGAATTAGTCTACTTTATATAAAAAGTATTTTTCAAAATAAAATAGCTCTTTTTCTTAGGAAGGATTATTTCTTCTTCCTATTTTGCTATAAATAATTGTAAACTTCTAAATAATCATATAACATTACACAGGTTTAAATAATTGATAAAAACAAAAGATTATTGCATTTATTTTTAAAAACACATTTATAATTAATGCCTAAAAACTTTCCCTTATGGAGAAAATGTAACAAGATACAGAACTTAAAATAATCTTAGAAATCAATTACCTGACTAATAAGAAGAGCAGTATAGGTACCAGAAACCCTGTCATCTGAAAATACATGTACACAGTCTCTAATGCAGATATCATATTGTCAGTTGATTTCATGGCTCATTACTCAAGAGATTAAGAGATGGTATAAAACATGTTTTTATATTATATGCCATAGAAAAACTAATGTCACACATGTTTTCAGGTATATGAACCATTAACTAAAAATGTTACGTATGAGATGCCTACAAATTCTATCACTCCCAAGGGGAAAAGTATCTTTCCACATCTAGAAATTCTGACTCTCAAGAAGTCAGAGAGTAACAGATCACTCAACTACCCCCTTAGTCTAAGGTTTGAGGATAATTTATACTATCTTTCTGCTCATATTAACTTCTTCCTGATAGGTGAACTAGACTATGTAGTCTGCTGCCTACCACTACTACTACCACCACCACCACCACCACCACCACCACCACTACTACTACTACTACTACTACTACAACTACTACTACTACTTCTTCACACACACACATACCCCCTCAGATTCTTTTCTTTTGGGAAGTGGAGAAAAGAGACATGGTAGAGTGAAGAATATGAACAAAGTACTTATCAGAAGCAGGAAATTCCATCAAAATGCATTTTTAAAGCACCTTAACTTCTGAGAGCCAGCAGAGAGAAATACAGTATTTTTTGCATTATAATTCTTATTCTTTATGTTTGGGAAACAAGGTGTTCTGGATAATCAAACATGTTGGTTGACATAAAACTATCACATCAGACACAGCTATACAAATAATTAGAATACAATGAAATATACTTTAACAAAACTTGCTAGACCAGAATCTTTCTCGATGATGCATGAATCCTCTGAGGGGCGCATCCTCTGAGGGGTCTATGGACAGTGTTTTTTAACCCATGAATTCTGGGAAAATTTCTATAGCTCTGCACTTAAATCTTAGAGGTAACAGGGTAGGTTTAAAGGGAGGGATTGGGATTTTGCCCACCTCCTCACCTAGAGCAAATCTATCTGTTCTGTTTTATGTGTTTGCATTTCCATGTAATATATGAAAAAGGGTTCCACTGGTAACAATTATTGGAAATGTTCTGAAGGAAGGGATCATAATTAAATTGATTATAATTAACTGTAAATGTCCATAAATGCTGGTTTATAGATATTTGAAAAAAAATCACAAAAGATTTCTAATTTACTGATATTTCTAAGGTATGTTCAAAGCATAAACCCAAAGCTGGAATCAAATGGAAAGTAACACACAGTACCTTAACAGGTTTTCTAAAGCCTCTTGTGTTCTGGTAGTTTCCCCCACCTTCAAATGGCTTGTAAGGAATGGTGTCTTTTCTCTGCATAGTAGGATAATTCTGCATGAAAAAAGTATTAGTATGGGTTAATACACCTTAAAGTTTATTTAGAAAAGTTCATTTTTCCACTAAAAACATACATTTTAAATGTATAGGATTAAGAACACAAAACAGGGAGCATATAGCTTTACTACAGGAATATACACACATCTTCCTAGGCTAGCTTTGAGGGGTTAATTTAATTCACAAATGTTAGAAGTGAAAAAAAAAAAGCCTTGTATAACACAACAGATAACTTTTAGAAAATGTACTATAAATCTTGTATTTATTTAGGTAAGCAAAAGAGAAATAAACCTATTATTATCTGGAGTCACTAAGGAGTTCCCACTACCTAAGAAGAAAACAAATTTTCAGTACTGCATGAGGCAAATTTTCTGATTCAGATAACTGATTGAGGTGATGCTCATGCCATAACCAGGAAAGTGTAATAAGTTAGTCTATTAAGACTATAAACTAAGGGCCTCCCTGGTGGCGTAAGGGGTTAAGACACAACCTATGAAGCGGACTGCAGCCACTGCAGCATGAGTTCAATCCCCAGCCAGGAAGTTACCCACATGGCGCAGCAGACCTCTCCTGACTTGCCCGCTGCTCCCCTCAGCAGTGTGTTTCAGTCAATCTGGCTGTTCTGTTCCCCACTCTGTCTCTGGTGAATCCTCTCACATTCCCCGCCCCACACACGTCTGGCCTGCACCCCAGTTCTTGTATGCATAATAAACCTTTAAAAAAAAGACTATAAACTATAAGAACTGGAATCCTTTGGTTTCTGTTGAATCAGCAACACCACACACACTGATTAAAAAAAACAGAAAGAGGAGTCATGGAGCAGGCTGTAGGATGCAGGATGCTGTTCAAGAGCACAATCCCGGCCGTTTTATTGACAGAAAAGTGTGGGTCAAACTGAATATTGGACTTAGGGCTTTAGGGAGGGTGAGTCTACTGATATACTCCCCACCCCCCAATCTTATTAACAAGGAGTTCCATTGATCAGTCCCTGGGGAGCAAAGCACATCAGTCTATACTCCTGCCCCCACCGATCCGGGAGGTACATCTATTGCCCCAGGGCAATCAAGTGTCCTGCTCTTGTCTAACTTGAAAGGAGCCCTGTACACTACACCCACAGGTTCCAGAATGGGACCCATTCTGAAGATGGTTTATTTTTTCTAACATCAACAGTCTTACAACCTTCTATTTACTCCATTTGCTGTGGAGTCTATAATTTCCACAAATCTTCCTTTTTCACATCTTGATCTTTCTCCCCAGTATATTTTTTTAAAGATTTATTTATTTTTGCATACAAGAGCTGGGGTACAGGCCAGAGATGCAGGGGGTGAGAGGATCCACTAGAGACAGAGTGGGGAACAGAACAGGCAGACTGACTGAAATACACTGCTGAGGGGAGCAGCGGGTGAGAAAGGAGAGGTCTGCTTCGCCATGTGGGTTTCTCCTTGGCAGGCCGGGGATTGAACTCATGCTGCAGAGGCTGCGGATTGCTTCATAGTGTGGTGCTTAATCCCTTGTGCCACCAGGGAGGCCTCTCCTCAGTATATTAAAAGTCATATCCTTTTCATAGTAGTCACCTTGAAATTACAATAAGTATAAATTTGCACAAGTTCATAAAGATATATGTTAATGAGATGAGACATTGGGGGATCTCGGGAGGGAAGGGATGTATTTTGCTTGTGATAGGATGTGAATCATTTGGGGACCAGAGGGAGGGCTGTACCAGGAAGCGTTGACCAGGTCCCCAACAATCCCCACCTTTTGGTATCCAGGCCCCTATGTCCTCCCTCCCTTTGAGTGCAGGCTAGACCTTGTGACTTGCTTCTTACAAACTATGGTAGAAGGGATGTCATGTCACTTCTATGGTTAAATGACAAAATAATCTAGTTTCTGTCTCTCTAGCCATTACTTGCTGGCTCTTATGGAAGCCAGTGGCTATTTCATGAACTGCCCCATGAAAAGACAAATCTTCAGAAACAGAAAGTAGATTAGTGGTTAGCTGGGGGCAGGAACAGGGACTAATTAAACAGGCATGGGAGTTCTTACCAGGACCGTGAGTTATGATCATAATTCAGTTCTGTTACACATCTTGGTAAATTTATATAAAATCATTAAATTGCACATCTAAAATGGATTAATATTATGGCACATAAATTATACCTTAATAAAACTATTTCCAAAAAATCTTAAGAAAGCTAGTACCATATAACATACAGTAAAATCCTGGTAAGTCCAACAAAAGATGACCATTGTTTTTGTCATAATAATACAAAAGAATAGTATAATATGTACTTAATGAATAATTAAAAGTACTATGAAAAACATTGGTGATCCCTGTACATATAGATGTGAGAAGGAGAAAGAAATCTATAAAAATGAAAAATTTGGAACTGTAATCTTACAGCTTGAGGTTTCTGAATAAATTTTCTAAAATTTGATTTTATAAAATGTGTAGGTTTTTGGAATCCATCATCATGAGTATTCTTCAAGCTTGAAAAACTGGAATGCTGTTCATTCCTAATAAAAGAGAAAATAATCTTTTGTTAGTTTAACCTTAATCCAACAAACAAGAAAAATCCAAATAGCCCCTTCAGAGAGAATTAAAGTACACACAACAGTTAAGAAAAACAACAACCCATCAATGCTCTATCATTACCAAAATTACTCTCAAGGCTAAAACCTTCATTTTTCTACAAACATTATTTAGCTAGATTGGAAGTTAGCAACAAAGGAAAAACGTATTCCCTGGACCAAAGTTCTCAATCTGGGTTGACTGACAGGCTTTCTGGACCATTCAGAGGTGTTTTTTCTGAAAGGATACTCACTCCTCTCAAGCCTTAGCATCACCAGACCCCCCGTGCCAACAGATTTTTTTTTTGGACGAAAGCACTGGAGACAAGCATGTTGGTAGTTCAGACCCTGTCTCTGGCAGAGGGGTCTTTGACAGCTCTCTCTCCTTTCATCCCAGGTCAGGAGGCCACAAACGGCTTCGGGGAGGGAGGTTCTTCCTTGAACTCCTCCTCTGAACTCTGGGGCCTCTTTTTCATAGTCCTTGGGGAGTCCTCTCCCTGTCACATCCCACATCTCCCCATGATGCTCTCTGGTGAACAAACTGCTCACTGCCGCGACCCAGCTTAGGCCCTCCCACAGGTGCTCCACTGACACTGAGAGAAAATCCACATTCTTCCTCAGGTCCCCCAAGGTGCTCTGCGCTCCAACAGTTACTGCCTCACTGGCTACTTCATATCAATCTCCAAACAAGCATGCTGAGCTTCAGAACATTTAGCGATGTACAGGTCCTGGCACAAGTCACAATTTCTCCTGCTCCCACATTTGCACATACAGTTCCTTCTGCTGTAATTTCCTTTTAACTTAGTTAACTTCAAGTTTTAGCGTCATGTGCCTCTCCTCCAGGAAGGCATTCCTAGACCCCTCTCAAGTGAACTAGGTAACCATGCTATATACAAAACCAGCATTTTGGTTTAAACAGGTGTCACCTATAACAGCAACTGTAGGCACACCTGTCTGCCTAACCCAGCAGGGCGCGATCCTTCAGAGCAGGAGCTATGGACAGTCCCTTTAAGGGCTCTAGCTCCAACCCCTAGATGTGGACATGAAATAGCCACTCACAGAGTATTTTGAAATGTTAAAAGAAAAAAAACCCATATTCTGTCAAAATGCTTATGATAAGAAGTCCAAAGAGTATAGTACAGAACCCTATATGAGTATAAATTCAATTATTTAAAATAGACACATATATACCCAGAAAAAGTAACAGAAAATATACTAAATATTAGTAGTGATCATCTCTGACTAATGAAATTAAGAATGCCCTAAAAACTTTATTTTATACTTTATTCTATTCTTCCAAATGTTTACCATTGGTATGTACAACTATTTATTTCTTTTTTTTCCCAAAGATTTATTTATTTGTTTATATAAGCACTGAGTACAGTCAGAAGGACGGGAGGGTGAGAGGATTCACCAGAGACAGAGCGGGGAACAGAACAGACAGACTGACGAAATACACTGCTGAGGGGAGCAGCGGGCGTGGCAGGAGAGGTCTGCGCGCTATGTGGGACCCTCACTGGCGGCCAGGGATCGAGCCGGCACTGCACAGGCTGCGGGCAGCTTTGCAGCCCAGCGCTCAACTGCTGCACCATCGGGGAGGCCATGTACAACTATTTCTATAAACAAAACAATGAAACTTTAAAATATCCTCTCTGCAAAGCATATATCTGATAAAGGAGTAGTATTCAGGATATATAACGAAGTCTTACATCTTAATAATAAAGAGACAATAACTCAATTATCAAGTTGCCAAAGTTTTTGAATAGATATTTATGCAAAGAACACAGAAAAAGCATATGACAAGACACTAAACATCACTAGTCACTAGGGAAATGCTAATCCAAGGCACAATAAGATACTATGCTATGCCCACTAGGACGGCCATTAGAAAAAAGAAGAAAAAAAAAAACCTGGGCCTCCCTGGTGGTGCAAGGGGTTAAGTCTCAGCACTAGGAAGCTATTGCCAGCCATTGCAGCATGAGCTCGATCCCCAGCCAGGGAGCTGACCCACATGGCGCAGACCTCTCCTGTCTCGCCCGCTGCTCCCCTCAGCAGTGTATTTCAGTCAGTCTGCCTGTTCTACTCCCCACTCTGTCTCTGGTGGGCCCTCTAACCAAGGTAGGGAACTTAGTAATACTAGTTACAAGAGGAAGAAAAAGTATGTCAAGAGAAGACATGGAGACATTAGGGTAAGAGGTTAGCCAGAAATCAGAGGAAATAGAGAATAACAGAATCCTGGAGATTAGACAAGATGCCCCAGTATTAGGTTTGTTTGGGAAGAAGAGTCCAAGGTATCAGGAAACAGTGATCTCAATGTAAATACATTATAATCCCAACATCCTCTGTCCTAACTATTTCTCTGGAAAGTTCTTCATTCATTCAACAATTATGAATTGAGCTCTAAGCAGTGCGGACACAGTTGTGAGCAAATACAGACAGATTGCATACAACTTTTTAAGGGAAAAAAATTACACAGTTGCTAAATCACTTATAGCCTATGATTTATGATTTCATTTCTCCTGAATTTCTATGGAAATCTATAAACAGACCTTACTAAAATGTTTATGCAAAAATATTAATGGTCAATTTTGATTAACTGAATTTCTAGGATAAAAGGTTAAATAAAATGTATTTCTTATTTTGACAAGGAAATTAAATTTGCATAAAGTGAGATTAAAGTTTCTATACTTTATTTTTAAGATTTATTTATGCATGCATGCAAGAACTGGGGTGTAGGCCAGAGGTGTGTAGGGGTGAGAGGATTCACTAGAGACAGAGTGGGGCACAGAACAGGCAGATCCACTGAAATACACTGCTGAGGGGAGCAGCGGGCGAGATAGGAGAGGTCTCCTGCGCGATGTGGGCCAGCTCCCTGGCCAGGGATCGAACTCCTACTGCAGTGGCTGTGTATAGCTTCATAGTGCTGAGACTTAACACCCTGTGCCACCAGGAAGTCCTCCAAAGTTTCTATATTTTATTTCTTTTTTATACCATTTTGATTTCTTTTTTTTTTTTAAAGATTTATTTTTTTATTTATACAAGCACTGGGTACAGTCAGAAGCACGGGAGGGTGAGAGAATTCACCAGAGCCAGAGCGGGGAGCAGAGCAGGCAGAAGGACCGAAGCACACTGCTGAGGGGAGCAACGGGCGGCAGGAGAGGTCTGCGCGCCATGTGGGACCCTCCTCCGTTGGCCGGGGAGCAGGCGGGGATCGAACTGGAGCTGCAGAGGCTGCGGGCAGCTTTGCAACCCAGTGCTCAACCGCTGTGCCACCGGGGAGGCCCGAAAGTTTCTATATTTTAAAAGAAGAAGAATAACAACTTCTGGTGAGGATGTAGAGAAAATGAAACTTGTAGACACAGCTGGTGGGACTATAAAATGGTGCCACTCTGCCCTACATCCCAGCTCTTGTATGCATAAATAAATAAAATAAATATAAATAAAATATAAATTTAAAAAATAAAATTAAAAAAAAGCCGTTACATTCCTCCCAGGAATTACAAAGACTTGAAATACTCACCTACCCAATAATTTTGTTGTTTAAATCAAATAGCATATGATCACTGAGTAACTCTGAAACATTTTAATAGATTTACTTAACCATAATATGGACTTGAAGGATCAGATCCCTACACTAAAATGAAAATTATCATCACACAAAATATTGAAAACTATGCTGAAACCAAAAGGTTCCTGGTCACAGAATGTTTTTCACCTACTGATTACCTCTCTGCAGCACCGGCTTTGTGAGAAATGCGCTCATCTTCATTCTGTAACCGTTCCTTTCTCCTCCTTTCAATGTCATGTCGTAAGTCATTCGGATCTATTATTTTGACCAGAGCCTGAGGAATTTTGACAGAAGACAAACAATTCACATTAGTGTTAGCTGCACAAAAACCTTAAGTAAAAATCCAAAATAAGTTATCTTGTACTCATCCTGCTAATGGTAGAACAAACCGATAAAAATGTTTTGAGATACAATTGCCTATAGAATCAGAAAAGTTCATAACTTCGAACCAGGAATCCCACTTCTGGGATACTATCCCAAGAAAAGGTAACCCATCCAATTATATTCAAAGTGTTATATTTCAAATAACAAAAAGATGGAAGCAACTCAAGTGCAAAAAAAAATTAAAGGGAAGAAATGATTTTATGGTAAAAAGTCAAAGGAATAATGTGCAGGTATTTAAATTATGGTAATATATGTTGTAGAAGTCAAAATAGAAAAACACTTATTGGAAAAAGTCAATTAAACTTTAAAAGCCTTAATAATAAAGAGGGGTCAAAGATTTTACATAAAAGGAATGTTTGTAAAATATAGATAAATAAGTAATATTAATTTTTTTAAAGGAGTGTTATTAGGGTTTAAGTAAAAAGAAAAAAGGCATCCAAAACTGCATATACTATGACAGCAACTATGTTAAAATACCAGATGTAAAACTGCAATAAAAACACAATCAAATAGGGCTTCCCTGGTGGCACAAGGGGTTAACAGATGGTGCACTATGAGGCTGTCTGCAGCCACTGCAGCACGACTTTGATCCCTGGCCAGGGAGCAACCCACATGGCGCAGCAGACCTCTCCTGTCTTGCCCACTGCTCCTCTCAGCAGTGTACTTTGGTCAATCTGCCTGTTCTGCTCCCCACTCTGTCTCTGGTGAATCCTCTCATCCCCCACACCTCTGGCCTGTGCCCCAGCTCTTGTATATGTAAAATAAAATAAATCTTTAAAAAAACACCCACACAATCAAATAATATTTTGTGTTAAATGGCTAAATTAGAGATAAGTCTTTAAAAATTGCCAAATTCCTACAGCTGATTACAGGACTTTGATAAAATATTTTCTGAAAATATAATTTATTTAATAAACTAACCTATCTTCATACGTTAAATAAAAACTGTAACCACTCTACAGTGAAAAAATTGTATGTTCTATCAGAAATGTATTAAAATTTCTTTTAAAAAAATCTTCATGCTCAATGAATAAGCAAGTTGTTCTTTTAGAACTTGATATACTTTTTCTAAAACAAGAGCTAGTTTTCTTCCCCCTGGTTAGTCAAGATAGTTTTTTTAATTTGCAAGGAAGTGGTGGCAGGGTGGAGAGGTGTGGCATGGAAATTACCACGCACAACATGTGACAATAAATATTGTGTTATTTCCATCATTTTGTTAGTTGATGTTCCATAGAATCTTTCATACATTCGACAGTAATCAGAAGGGCAATATAATGCGAAACTCAGTTTCCCTGCATTCATTCCACATACAATTAAAAATATATATTCCATATGGCATCAACCATACTTTCTGCAAGCTTCACAGTGTGAAGTTTTGGAATGAATATTAAAGGCAAAAATTCTGTGTCAATTTTATAAAGCTATTATTCTTAGGGATTGCCTCTCTTAGGCAATATTTTTGTTTTTTTCATTGTTATTTGCAACCTGGCTGATACATAGGATCAGCTAGGGGATTTGTAAATTTTGGATTCCTGTGTCTTAGTCTTTCTTCCTCATGTACTTTAATTCCCTTTACCAACCCCTCTATCATCAGTTTCCCTTCCCATTAGCATACCAACAATAAGATAATCTCATCACAATATGTATTCACTTACCTGTTCTGATTCACATACCATACTTTGTTTCCTCTTAATCTCAGTCAAAGACATATCTATTCTCCTAAAATTAAAAACACATGATACAATTAAATAATTGCTATACACTGATGCCTTGACTCCATTACTACAGAACAGAATTTGAAATGAAGCTGGTATGTCTTAGAGGAAGCAAAAGAAACTTGCTTCCAGCTGGTTTTTCATCTACATGGCAGTTTCCTAGGACATATATCTCCTGTGAATGAACATCACAGTGACAACTTAGTGATTCTCAAATCACTAGTCTGTGTAAGTGCTCTGGTGATGTACGGCATTCTAACATTAATTCAGCTCAGCTCTCACAAGACGGGGCACACCACCTATTCGGACAGGTATCAGTAGACGATGACATACGTGTTCACCCAGCTGCCCTCAGAACAGCCATTCCTGACCACATGAAGCAACATGATTTCAGTGGCTTGACAACTCTTTTTCATTCTTCCAGTGATAACTTCAGTAGGCAATTACTATAGACACAGCAGAATCAAATACATGTAAGCAAATATTTTCCAAATCCTATATATTCTAACAGTGCTAGTCAGTCAATGGCTTTACCACAACCTATTCATCAAAGTGCACTGGCTCAATACCTGTTGGGTCAGTCCTATTTTTAGGTAGGAAATGCTGTCCCAGAGAGTCTATAGCAAGCCCAGGTGAGTGCAGAAGGCAGCACCTTCCCACATGTGTCATTGCTTATTCCATAAGTAAACAGGTATAAATAATCAATCATTACCTGTGAATTTCTGGATCAGAATTCAATGTAATTTCATTTACATCTGCATCTTGTGTATCTTCCCTTTTTGAGAAACGCTCATGTAGGGTAATGCCAGGTGATGGGAAAAAATTTGCTGAAAAAAGAAAAATAGTTTTATCTCAGTGTAAAACTGATTCTACTTAAGACTACATATAAACACAGAAGAAGGAACTATTAAAAAAATATCCAACCTATTTGCTCTTGAAAAAATGAAGATTAATTTAATGCACAGAATTCAGAGTGCCCATGTGCTTTTCAAGTCCGAGCAGTAGAAAATAATGAAACAAACAAACAAAAAAAACAGCCAAACAAAAAACTACCTGATTTATCAACCCAAAGATTTTGTTCCTATTTGAGTGCCTGCTTACTTGTCAGGGGAAAAGACAGTGGCTCTCTCAAAGAGAGAAAGTTTCCTCTCAAAGGTAAGACCTTACTATTTATCTGGGAAATAAAGATGGTCCAACACTCTGCAGTTCACCTAGAGTAAAAATGACTCCAAAAACAACTCTGAAACATCAAACAATTCTGAACAAATGCTAAATGTTATGTTTACATACCACAGAGGGCTTCTCAGTGCCATTTTGCTGTAATATTAACTGAAGTTCATGAAGATACTCTGAAATCAGTTATGTTATAGGTTTTAGATAGGACAGAGAGAAAGAATACACATGACCCATCAAAATACTACTTAAGCAATCCTTTTCTCTAACTTACTGCTCCTTTTCTAGAACAATCTCCTGGATTTTTTCTGTAATACCAGCTTCCTTTTTTGCCAAGAATCATACTTGCTTTGGGTGACAGGGGCTGCAATTGAGGTGAATTACATGCTTTAAAGTAAAGATATGCTTTAGTGTGAGAAATGCAGAGAAAATAATTCATTTTCAAAATATGCTTTAGGAAGGCAAAAAGATTAATGCAATTATCTAGTAAGAAACGGAAAATAAAAATTGAAATTCTTGAAGGTCTCCAATTTATAACACCCACAATTACCTTATTTATACAGCATTAATGCAGAAAGTTGCTCTACACGACTGAATTTTCCAATTAATGGACATTGGCCAGAAGAAAAAAAAAATACAACAATTTAATGCAAATCTTTAAAATATTATTTAAGTAACTCCCGGATGTCATAAAGCATGCTAAGTCAAACTGGACTCTTATTGATCACTTAGCATTATCCTCATGGCACAAAGTCCTAGCGATGCCCTCTGGAGTTTTAAGAATATCACCAATCAACCTAGACTTCCAGATTTCTTAAATTTCTTATCTGGATTTTGTTGCTTCCTCCTGCCTGCTTGGTTATCACTAATTGTTTCTTGCTGCTCTGAGTACGCCTGTCTTTTGCAGCAGCCAACCTCTTTCTTTCAATTTCTAGACTACTCTGAGTTGAAGCATGAGGTTATTAGAACTACAAATAAAGAACAACTACGTCTGATTAATACCTATTTTCTCCCCCAGTCTTCCTAATTAATGATCTAACTTACAATGAAATATTAATTACTATACACACGAAATGTTAATTACCTATATCTCATGAACAGTCAGTACATTATTTTTGTGTTATCCCTAATGTATGTGCAAAATATACCAACCTTTAACTTGATGGATTATAGTTATGATTTCCTGAGCAAATTCTCCTGTAGTTTTGTTTTCAGTATTCTGAGTTGAGTCAAGATGTTCAAACACAGGATGAAAGTTCTCACTTTTCCTGCCAACAGCAACCAAATCATGTGACATCTGTCTCTCCAAATCATGTGACATCTGTCTCTCCAAATCATGTGACATCTGTCTCTCTGTGGAAAAGCTAGAAGCAACCCTAGAATAATTTGTAAATGTTTAACTAAATTTGAAACTATTTTAGTGAGAAAAGAACTTAGTAAAATTAATCAAGATAGCTATAAAACTAAAAAGAAATTTATCTTTTCTTATAATTACAACACTAAATTGTATGCCATAAAACAGGTATAATAATGAGGAGAAAATAGCAATACATGGTTTTGAATTCTCCTGTTCAAATCAGAGTTTATTAGATATTCACCACTTTAATAATAAAATCCTCAAAATTCTCAGTAAAACCTTTTTTTCCCTCAAAAAATACAAGGCATCGAAGATACTCAATATGCAAAAAATAATCAATTAGATTATTTTCTACTCCAAATGTCCATAAAATTGTAAATCCAGCAAACTTATACTACCTTGAAATACTACCACACTTTAAAAGCTGGTATCAAACATAATAGCTTCTCTGACTTCATAAAAATCTTTATAACTCTGTATGAGCAATGAGAAGCTTATAATGGTATTTTGAAATTAAATTTTATTCAGGTTAGCTTAATCACTGACTTTCAGCAAATAGACTTTTAGTTGTTAGCAAAGTTATATCCATTAGAACCAATTACAGTGTTTCCCCTAAATATATCCTTCAAAAAATACTACCATCTGTTACATAACCCCAGGCACCTTACCACTTTCATGTTTTGTGAATTTTTGTAACTTTTATTACAAACTCTCCTGACCATTAGGTACCATTATAAAGCTGTGATGATGACACACAGCTCCCAATTATTGAGGGCTTACCCATGGGTCAAACACAGGGGCTGGGGACTTTTAGGCATTACCTCATTTAATCTTTACAGTAGCCCCGAGAGGAAGGTGCCATGGCACTGAGAATGGATATCCTGGTGGTTTTGCTTTACATCCCAGAGTTGAACATTCATATCCTTCCAAGTGTCTAAAAGCGAAACTACACCTTACTCCAAGAATGCTGCTCTTGCTTAAGATTACTCTTAACTTCTTTGTCTGGAGGCAGTTTTTGCATCACACTAGGAAATGTTTCATTATTTTATATTTATACCTGATTTTGAACCCAAAATGGCACTACCCAGCTTGCACCCATCTTACTCCTCTGTACTTCCACCCTAACTATAGCTTTTGGCTCTTCAAAAAATCAAATTCACCATCCAAAGAATCAAGATTTACAACTACTGGGTTCATTATGGGTATATTACAGGCTCCAAGGATAAATCTAAAAGAGAGCCTGAAGTATGTTTTAAACCATAGCAACACCATGGAATAAATTAACTCTTTATATAACAAAAATGAACCAAACAGGTACATTTTGGGGTGTGGGTGTAAGCACACATTTTACTCATTTTTTTTAATGCTCCAGGGTTATAAGGGGCCTAGGATATTTTTTTTTTTTAAAGATTTATTGATTGATTGATTTATACAAGCACTGGGTATAGTCAGAAGCGCGGGAGGGTGAGAGAATTCACCAGAGCCAGAGCGGGGTGCAGAGCAGGCAGAAGGACCGAAGTACGCTGCTGAGGGGAGCAGCGGGCAGCAGGAGAGGTCTGCGCGCCATGTGGGACCCTCCCCCGGTGGCCGGGGAGCTGCCCCGGATCGAACGGGCGCTGCAGAGGCTGCGGCAGCCTGGGGCCTAGGATATTAACTAAAAAAAAAAATTAACTCCCTTAACAAGACAGTTTGAAGCACCTATTTTTAACTTATCAAAGGAAAGGCTTCCATCTGACTTTCCATGTTTCCTGTTCTCAAACCAGCACTGTAAAGAGACTCCTTGTGATGGTAGAAACATGGAAAAGTGATTAAGCACCAGGTTGATAACTCTGCTGTGGTTTCCTTGATTCATTAGAAGGACTTTCATTAGAAGGTCCATTTCCTTTTGTTCCTCCTAATTTGCTCCAAGCTGCCTGAAAACTAGTAAAGAGACATTTAGTGACAAGCACTAGAAGCTAGACAAGGCCTTGTAACAACTTCCACTAACAAAGAAGTACAAATGCTATCTGTTTAAAAGGATTGAATGACACAGAAAACCTGTTCCATACTAAAAATATAGCTTTGAAAAACATTTTACAAGAAAAGATGTCTCATTTGAGCTTAAAAAACACCCCATAAATAAAGGAATAGCAGTAGATAATATTTTTCATTGCAACCTGTTTCTCCCAAGAAGAAACCAGTTGATAGAGGCGTCCAGTTTTTCTCCAGGTAATTATTAAAATTTATTTGTCATTTATTACAAGTTAATTATTGGTATAACTCTTATTCCCACTCCATACCCAACCCTGGCCCATGAGAGTGAACCCATGGTTCACTTTGAAGCATGCCTCACTGAGGTTTTAGTGTTTAAATTTGCTATCAGTTAACAAATTTATCCTAGAGCTACCCCAGCGCAAGGTTTTTAATGAAGAATATTAAAACTAAATAAAACTGTCATTTTCTAGACTACATACATTAAAATAGAATAATCTGAAATTTTAGTCTTTTAAAAAACAATTATGCTATTGGTGTTACAAGAAAAGACTTCTTGAGACTGGAGAACACAAAATACTCAAGATATTTGTAAATTCAATCACCTCATGGTTGACACTTTCCTTTTTTACTGTATGATATGTCCTGATTAGCCAGTTAGTAATTTCAGGAGATATCCCCAATACAAATAGCCAAGCTAAAAAGATCAAACATTTGACATGCATTTTAGATGTTTATAACAATTAAAATATAGCCAAACAACTGTATTACATACTACTTTTTTTTTTTTCCCCCGCCGGCGGCCGGGGAATGAACCGGCGCTGCAGAGGCTGCCGGCAGCCTCGCAGCCCAGCACTCAACCGCTGCACCACCAGGGGAGGCCCTAGTCTGTACTACTTCTAATACATCTTTCAGGTTCGTTTGTTCCTTCCCCGACTCCACTTCTGATTTTTTCTGATGTTCTAAGAAAACTACAAAGCTACATTAAACCTTGATTTTCTTTTGTATACATTTACGATCCACGCAAAAAAACCCCAAAAAACAAAAAACCTCACGGCAAAACAACACTAACAAAAAACCGACAACAACCGAAGCCAATGGATAATCCCTACCCTCTTGAGGCTCTTAATATATAACAAAACTGACATGACACATACAAAGCTTTCCTTTCTCAGTTTTCTTTCAACTAATAACTATCATGAGCACTTTCCCAATTACTATATAATCTGAAGAACACATTTAGAATTTTTGGAGTTGAGGGAAAAGGGTTAGGGTGGCTGCTATACCCTTAACGCAGTGTCTCATTACCTTTCTCGCAAGTCTCACCAGCTCTAATACCCTTCTTCCAAGCCACCTCACAAAAGTGTCCTCCAGCAGCCAGAACTCAGCTGTCTGCCCACTAATCCTGTGAAATCAGGCTGGCAGTCTTACCTTCAAGGTGCCTGTTCCTTTCCTCGACTGCTGAGAACCACACAGTTCAAAGTTCCTGTGTATGTTTTCTGCCTTTGTTAACCTATTAAACATAAATGTCTCATCTCATCTCCATGTGTCTAAAACACACCAACCTTCAAAGCCTACCTTACACATCAACTTTTTTTTTTAAAGATTTATTTATTTATACAAGAACCGGGGTACAGGCCAGAGGTGCGGTGGGTGAGAGGATTCACCAGAGACAGAGTGGGGAACAGAACAGGCAGACTGACTGAAATACACTGCTCCGGGGAGCAGCAGGGAGACAGGAGAGGTCTGCTGCGCCATGTGGGATTCTCGAACCTGCGCTGCAGAGGCTGCGGACAGCTTCACAGCGCGGCACTCACCCACCTGCGCCACCAGGGAGGCCCCACACATCAACTTCTGAAAGAAGTGTTCCCCTGAAGCTCCCAGCTTGAAATAGTCTGAATCACACACCACCTCCTATGTCACTCACTATGTGCACAGTACTTACCAATGCCCCCTATCTTTATAAGACCAGAGAAGAAATCTAATGCTATGCCAATCTATAGTCCCAGGGTACCCTCACAGGCATTCTCACAGAGGGACAGGTCTCCAAAAAATACTGCTGAATGAATATAAATAAGTGGAAAATGATTTAGTCAAATTGAAATGAGTGTTTCAGCTAAAGAGATGACAGATGTCAACATTGTAATTGAGGTCTAAAATTTTAATTTTGTTTTTTACCTTTTGTGGCTTTTTATTTTAAAAAATTTACTTTAGACTAAATTTTAAAAATTTATTTTTTTTATAATATAAAACCTCAAATATAAAAACCAGAGAATCCTATGATGAGCTGATCAACCCAACCGCAATAGTTATCCACACAGGGCCAATACAAGGGGACTTGTAGACCCAGGAGGAACTACAGGTTAATTTGGGTCCCAAAATGTATGGCCAGGTGACCTCCCCACTGTCACAAAGCTGCTTAGTAGCCCACCAGAGAAGCAAAATCCTATGCACCCCCACCCCCCAACAGAATGTTCACTTCCCTGTACTAGAACCCCTAAGATATACTAACAGAAGCTAGAGTGAAAAGTCGGAATGAAAGGGGGTATTCATTAAAGAAATTTTTTATTTTAAAAAATGTATATGAGAATTAACAGAGGAAAAAAACCTTAGTATTTTGATATATGACAGCCATGCAGTAGGTGTGTGTATCACAAAACATCTCCATCTGTAGTTGATTTTGTCTCCGACTGAACAGTACTCCTCATAGGTAACCTTGTAAACAAGGTTCTCTGTTGTGGCAAATAACCTGGTAATGGTTTTTCACGTTGTTCTCTGCCTACTCAGCACCCTCTTCCTCAGAGCAGGAGGACTTCAGTGTCCTCAGGGCCAGTCACCCATCTCATACCCTTTCAGAATGGAGAAAGACCTGATGGGAGTAGGAAGGCCCTCTGTCTAGCTCTTCAGTGGGAGATAAAAGGATTTAGTGCAAATGCAGCTGTGTACTCGTTCACCATCAACTTTGATAGCCAACCTCCTATCTTAGCAACCTAATACCAGCACCTGGAGTGATCAAAGAAGTCTCAGGTCCATCTGAACCAGCTTGTTCTTCTCTGGAAACTGACCCCCCTCCTGTTCCCTTCACTTCCTTTCTAGCCCGTCCAAGATTCAGCCTCTCAACTACTTTGCCCAACATGAAACCAAAACTCCCTACATCTGCCCTAAGACTTCCAGATATATATAACAGTTACAGTCTGGGGTTTATAAGGACCTTAGTATAAATGTTCATACTGTGATTACCTAACTTATATTCTGAAACATAAAATTATGACTCACGTAACTTCTACCTCTGATAATGCAATTTCTGAGAAAGTGGGTCACTAGAATATAGTCTTTGTTAACAGAAGTGAATATTTAAGCAAGTGTCTACCTACTGCTGTTCTAGATACAAAGTGAAATCTAGAAAAATCACTAAGTGATAACCTTGTTTTCAACCACATTGTTAACTAGAATATCAATACCTGACCAAAGCTAACAAAGTAAAAAATACACCTATGAGCCATTCTAGTAGTTCCCCAAAATGAATAAACTCTAGATTTTAACCAACAAAGAAACCTCTCTATCCACTCTATGTTTACCTAAATCTGTTCAAGTGGAGAAAAATCTAATTTATGTTAACAGTTGAGACCATGACTCTACTGAGGGCATTAACTATCTTTGTTTTATGGACACTCCATCAGTTCATACATAATTAAACTCAAACTCACAAAACTCTTCCACAATTCATTCATCAATAAATAATTATAATCAAAGAGAAAGATTTTGTTAACTATGACACTTTATCATATTGAAAAGATGCATGTATTTATTAAGTCATTTATCTTCAGGTCTTTGAATAGAAAGGATTTGCAGTGGAAGTTCTTTATTACACAAGTAGTTCTACAGGCCTCTGTCAAGTAATTCAAACAAGTGCTGGCAGGCCCACTGACAGGTCATGAAATCTCAGTAAATTATACTTTGTAAATTCAAAACAAGAGATACAGCAGCCATAATTTTAGGAAGTTCATTTTTGTGATACATGAATTGGAGTTTCTATTTCTCAAAATCAAATTATAAAATTTAATGTTATCTTCAATAGGTAAATGAAAAATGAAATTCTTTAAAATTGGTATTTCTACATTCTTTAAAAGTGTTAAAGCCAATTTATTCTCTTTTATGTGTGAACTACTTTGTTACTAAACATGGGGTAGCATTACTTTTATTTTAAAAAAAATCAAGATTTTAATGATTTGATCGTATATAATTCTGCCTCAAAAAATATAATAAAAAATTAAACAGCGAAGTATTTAAAGGGCAGTGTACTGACACCTGCAATTCACTTTGAAGTGCATCAAGCAAAAGTATGATGGAATAAAAGATGAATAGATTGACAAATATGTTACTATGGAAAGCAGAGTAAAATGCTAATTGCAGACTCCAGGAAGCGGGTATACAGGTGTTCCAGTACAATTCTTTCAACTTTCCTGTATGTTTGAACATTTTCATAATATAATGTTCAAAAGAAAAAAAGTTTAAAGTATCCTCCTTAAACTTGATACAGCAACCTTTGCACGCTTAAGAACTAGTAGAAAATATAGAACAAAATGATTTAAGATTACATAAAATAGGGTATACAGTGTTATGACAACTAGGTACAAATATACATCAAAAAATAGCAAAAGGAACTTACTAAAATATTACTAAAACTATCCTGGGGTAGTAGGATTATGAGTGAATTTCACCTCTATTTGTGTCATGCACACATATATAATGGAATTGCATTTATAAATGCTTTCTATGCACATGTAAACATATGTATGTATATTTAAAATATTTTTTGCAAGGACAATGAATGTAAGGACATATGGGGGGGAATGTCATATCTAACTGTAAGAAACAAAATATATTTTGTTTTTTAAAAAAAAGAAGGGACTGTGGGTTCACCTGCCTCCCAAGCACATCCTAACATCAGATTTAATCTTCTCTTGTTTTTGATGCAAAAACCGGTGAGTCAACTCTGAACATAAATATACCAAATCAACATGGTCCATCACTTTTCTATTCACATACTGGTAGTATATTAAGGAAATGAACAGACTTCATTGACATACCTAATTGCAGTGCCTGACTATCCTCAGAATCATAAACAGAGATACTGTTCACAATGCAACAAAGCACGCAAGCCTGTTTTAGGAGAACATGTCTATTATGACTATCGTGAATGCTTTTTTAAAAAAATAGTAAGAGCTAAACCAAATAGCATAAATATGCTGTTTTCTAAACTAATTTCCACTATCTAGCAGAATCGAGTTGGTTGAACCTTAGTCATTTCGAGTTGGCAACAAGAACCATGTTAAGTCACCCGCTTCCCTGAGTCACAAGAGGATATGGGGACTTGAGCCTCCGGTGCCCTGACTCAGATAAGCCACTTCATCTCTCAAGGCCTCACTAGCCTTCTCTATAAAATCTCTGCTCGCGAAGGTCTCTTCCAGGTCAAAAATACTCTGACTATCAGGAAACAGTGGAAACAGGCACTGAGAAACTGAACAAGGAATAGGTCTCTTTGAACTCCACCCAACCTATCTTTCCCTGGATACAGAAAATCTGGTAGCATCAGAACATGTAAATTCATGAAAAGGAACAACTCTGTAGAATGTCTTGCACCTAAAAAGCATGTTGAGACACAATGTAGAGAAAGCAGGCAAGAGCTCACCCTGTGTCTAATCACAGGATTCATCCTCATTACAGGCCATGTTTGAAGTGTTTTCCCCCCTCGACGGACTCTAAACACACCGCCAATACCACTTTCCAAGTTTCAAATAAAACTGGCAGCAGAAATAGTCATTAAATATCAATAAGAAAAAAATAAAGATAATACCTGAATGTATCTGCTATGTTCTTCACATTTACTTTAACTGTAAGGGATTTCTTCCTCAGATAGTCAGATGAAGGTTTCATGGCAGAAAATGTCCCATCGAGCTGGTTACTGGAAGAGTTGCTCTCCTTTCTGCCGTCCCCGTCTTTCCTTCCTTTGTCTCTCCGCTTGTCAGCATAGGGCCGCATACCATCATCACTTTTACTGGAATGAGTACTGGCAGTGCTGCTTTTTTTGGATGGTCTAACAGGTTCTTTGACTTGCTCCCCTTCAGTCTCTCTTCCTCTCCCAGCATTAAAACAGCTGGACTCTCTGTTTATAGGACCTTTTTGAGAACTGTGTTTTCTCTCCTCCTCCTTAGAGTACTTCTGAGTTCTTCCATCAGAAAAGTCCTGGTCTCCATCTGAGGTCTTGTGACGTTTGTGGTGATAGTCACAGGAGATCCTGGTTGCTGAACTGGACTCTGGGGGTTCCCTCTGAGGATGTCGGTGAGTTTGGGGTCCAACGTTCCACTGATCTTTCTTTTCTTGGTAAGGTAGAAGAGAATACCCAGACTTCCACTGTGGGTTTCTGACAGGCTCTCGGTTTTCATACCTCTCCACATCTTTAGGTCTTTTTGATGAGTGTGCATATTTTCTGAAATCACGATCCTCAGGATACCTGTGTTGACATAAAGAAGTTTACGCTTGCACTAGAAAAAAGAGAGAATTTACATAAGTGGACTGCTGGGCAGCCTGGCTTTAACTGCAGAATGCAGTAGCAAATGAACCTGTAATCCCTCAAACCAATTCACAGAGGCACAGGACAGTTAGAGGAAAATACCATCTTTTAAAAATATTCTAGACATTAACATGATTTACTCCAAAAATAAACACTTTCACGACTCCCAGTAGACCATGATTACATTACAATGTTTTTTATCTTTTTAGACAAAAGCCTTTCAAGGTGGTTATCCTCAACCATGAAGGAAACAGACCTTTTCACTTGAAGCTTTATACCAAGTTGCCCAGGATTACTGTTTGCCCATACCTCTTCTGAAAAGAGTTCCTCTTCTCAAAATCTTCGGATCCTCTTCTAAATGACTGAGAATATTTTTCACTTTCTATCCTCTGGTACCTCAACTCATCCTCATGCCATTTTTCTTCGAATCTGTAAGAATCTGCTGTTGACCTCGGAGGTGGTTTCCCTCCTTTTCCACTTCCTCTCACTCTGTGGTCATCAGGAACGTATCTTCCCTGCACATTCTGGGGATAACAATTCCTCTGGGAACTGTAGGGTACATCTTCTGAGTATTTGGGCAGATACTGAGACCTTCTGTTACCGTCCCCTCTTCCCGGTAAATATACCCCATGAGGCTTATAAGCATAAACATTTTCTAAAGAGTTTCTTCTTATATTTGGGGAAGGTGATCGATGTTCATAAGATCGGTAATGTATATTTCCATGAGGAGGACTCCTTGGTTTACTCTGCCCATATTTCTCATCGTCCATTCTCCAACCAAGAGGTCTTTGTGGATCTTTCCTATATTCACAGTCATAATATAGTCCATAAGGATGCCTTTGCTTGTAGTGTTCAGAATTTCTAGGTACTGGTGATAAGGACCTGTATAAACAAACATAAAAGTTTAGTTCATTTAAAAATAATAAACTATGTTTGCCCAAATGTGATCTACTTAAATAAAATACTTGGCTTTCCACTGCTTCTTCCACTCAAATTTAAGTCATCAATTTGCTACATCTGCATTCTAAATTGTCCTTTGGGGGTCTGATTGTGGTTATGCCCAATTCAACAAGTAGATTCTTTCCAGGTGAACCAATGTACCCCATGTGCATATCAAATGGAATGAGCACACCCTCACTGTTGAAGGAGGACCAGCTTAGGCACATAGCAGGATCCATTTTGCAACATGGCTGACGCCAATGTTTTGGCAAAAAGGTCAGTAAGCAAAAGCTTACATCAGGTTCAACAGTCAGGTAAGAAACAAGCAGATGGAGGGCTAGACCTATACAAAGAAATGTGTGGGAGTCTCTGGCAAAGTGAGCATAATACCTGAAATTAAATCAGATTCTGAGAGTTTATGGTGCCACAGCAAGCCCAAACTCAGACACAAGACTGACTACAGTTTCTCCAATTGACTGTCTATCCTCTCCATGAAAGCAATGAGGAGCAAAAATGATATAATTAAACTGGGAGGGATGGAGCACAGTAAGAAAATCTTAAAACCTGAATCTCATGCTTAGCGCCTCCATAAGTTGTACTAATATAGACTAGCTGCTTTTCTTTCCCAGACCTGTCCCCTTGTATATCTAATGAAAAAAGTGGTGTTCAAACAGAGCATGTAACTTTGGTGAATGTGTTTTAATGCAACACTCCCTGGATGGCACATCCTTTCTCTAACTACCATCTTCATCACCACAGTGTTGCCAACATGGAGACTTTCTTTCCCACAGAGGACGAAGCCACCTATATCCAGGAAAACCTGTCTGGGTTGCCCAGACTTCAAAATAAGAGAGAAGAGTGCCACTATCAGGAATACAATAAAGCTCAATTTTGCAGGTGGGGACGTTTCCTCCCATCTGTGTAATTTCCTAGTCTTTTCTCTTAGGGTTTAATGTCTTCTTATCAATAAAGAAGCTGCTTTTGCAGTTTCTGTCACTGTCCTGTCTTTAGAAGCGGTTCTGCAACTGGTGCAACCATGAGTAAAACCCATTCATTTGTTGACAGTCCTTTCTACAAGAAAGGAAGCAGATTTAGCTTCCCTAAGTACAGACTGGTGCTCATGCACTGGACCTGGCAACATCTTCCTCTGGGGTCACCCAAGGACACGCACTAGCAAGCGTGTTATTTAGCTGAAGCAGAAAGTCTGACATCCACCCCGTTGCACCTCATCACAGCAGAAAGCAACTGGAGCCTCTGAGACTCTTCTACCGCTAAGGAACAAAGCCGGCAACCAGAGGCAGGGATCGCCAAACTGGATGCAATACTCAATCTCCTACTGCAATCCTCGCCTCACGTTGAATACCACTTTGATGTTCTATTTCAATCAGTGTTTTACTGTACAGGACCCCCGTCTTCTGAGGAAGGTTGCTAGAATGGTCGTTAGCATTTTTCAGTTCCCCTAAAGGGACAAAGGAGACCCAAGAAATCTGCTGGGAGACAATTCTCCATGGGTCTCTGGCATCCTGAACGCCTTGTGAGTAGAGGAACTGAAAGCTTTCGTTCCAAGGCAAACAGCCTGAGAGATAGAGATACAGCTTCCTTGGGATAGAGGAATGATGTATTTGTTGTCCAGGATACCAGGCAACATCTCTTCCAGGCAAAGGCTGGGTGGGTGCGCTTGAGTCCACGGTGTGGCTCAGGCTCCTCAGCTGCTTCACTGCGCAGCACCTGCCCTCAGGGACTCAGGGAACACAGGAAAATGAACCTTAGGCTGGCGGCTGCACTATGAGTAATAAAGGTCTGCATCTCTCACCCAGGAATACCTCCTGGCAGGCTACTGTGTTAGTTTTCAAGGAGGGTAAAGTATCAGACCCTTTACAGCTCTGATGGCGTCCTGAGGTGGAATCTAGAAACCAGACACTAAGCTTGGCAGAGTCTTCTATGCCCCCTCACCAGGAACGACCACAAAAGGGCAAAACGAAACGCTCTCTGTGATGACCACCAGGTAAAATCATTCACTTCTCTACATTCCCTTTTCTTTCTTTCTGAAGCCTCTCCTTTACAATTTGGTCTGGTGCATTGCAAAATGAAAACTGCTGAAGCATGATTAACTAGTCATTACAGAACCATAATGAACAAACCCAATGGCCAAGTCATATCAAATTGAAAAATCTTGGCTTGCTTTTATATATCTAATCATGGTCCTTCTTTAAGTTCTAGAACCCACTTGGCACTTTCACAGCTCTGACTTTGCTCCTATTGTCCCCCTAAACTGGAATCTTCTTCTTCTTTCTGCCCTTAGGAATTCTACTCATGCTTAACAGACAGCTAAAATCTCATGACTTCTTTGGAGACTTCCTTAATATGTTATATTTGCCTTAGCAGCCCCAGCAGCTGCCCACAGCGGGTACACAACAAATACTGGTTGAGCTGTTCCAATCTATACTACTGACTCTACGGACCAGGAAAGAGAGGACGGCTGAACTACAACTGAGTAGTTTAAACCGCTATTATTTTCCCATGAAGAAGAAAAAATAGGAAACTCCCAATTTCTTTAAACATATTGATTGTGAAAAAAGTAAAATATACCAAAGAGTTCTAAACTACTTACTGATGCAAAAAATGTAACACTCTCTAAGATGTTTCTCTGTCCCTTGTAGAGGCCGTTGCATTTATTTTTATTATGGGTTAATTCTAGCTGCCTGCCATAATTACTGTAAATAAAGCTATCAGTTCCCAGTACCTAGAAAAATTACCTCTATCACTATGAAGTAACTTTTGTGAATTACCCATGATATTATTAAAATAGGTTTTTAACAATACTGATGAATTTGAAAGTCGAAGCACACCCCAACCCCATGCTTACTCCGCTAAACTAAGAACTGCTCACCTGTATTTCCACCTGGGGGATCTAGAGCGTGACCGTGCCATCCTTTGACACGTGAGTCACTATCCACTTTTTACACTGCAAAGAAACAGAGTATTAGCAAGTTTGTAGAAAGAGTCTGCAATCTGCTCTAAAAACAGAATGCCACCAACAGTTACTTAAGTCCTCTGTGCCTCAGTTTCCTCATCTGTAAAATGGGGGGGGTGATGGTTAACAGGTAATACTTTATTGGAATGTCATAAGGATAAAGTGAATTAAATCAGGAGTCAGCAAACATTTTCTGTAAAGGGCCAAATAGAAACTATTTTAGGATTTGCAGGGCATATAAAATCTTCACCACATCATCATATTTTCTAAAAAAAAAAATGTAAAAACCATTCTAGGCTCAAGGACTATACAAAAACAGGCCCTGTAGGCCAAATGTACTACAGTTTGATGATCCCTGAGTTTAGTGATTTAAAAAGCTTAGAATAATGCCTGGCACACAGCACTGCTAAATAAGTATTCCACAAAGAAGAAAAAATTACCCAGAATTCCTCTCAATGAACACAACCACTACTCCTTCCCATGTTTTGCCATGTACATGAATACTCATATAATCACAGTCAAAATGTTTAGGAATACTTGATATATCCTGCTTTTTAAATTGCCTGATAATAAGAATTACAAAGCCTAATTATAGTACTCAATTGCTGTTTTAACTTCCACCAGATAAAAATACCAAAACATAATTGAGCACAATTAGACAGTTGTTTCTGAGGTTTTTTGCCAAAATAATGTCAAATAAGTAAATTTTAAAAGAAATTTGATTTTGGAAATATTCTTCAGTCTTAAAAAGAAACTGATAGCTTTAGGAGCTAATTTTTTAAAATATGTGATTAAGGGTCTAATTTCCTATACTCGCTACTATTTACATCTCAGTATTGTTCCTCAGTTCTGATACTACAATTAAGTAGCTCCCAACTTACTGGCCCCAAATCCCTGGCGGCTTCCACAATTAATGCATGGGTTCATGAATAATACATACCGAAACCATGCACAGAATAAATGAACGAATAAGGATAGAATGAGTAAGTCTCATTATAGTAAGTATATGTCTCACATAGTATAACCTCTATTTCACAAATTTCTTAGGATTCTGTGGTGGTTGTTAAAATATAAATGGCTTCTTGTCACCATGTAGTTTTTCCACTGAATGATACAAAAAGCACAATCATCACTATGTGGACATCAGTTTAAAAAAGGAATCCTCATAGTATTGCAAGCTATAATGAGTTTCAGAATAAAGGTAAATCATATAAGGTCAAAAGATTTGAACCAGATCACTCCATAGGAAAAGCACATTCTGTTCAACTTATTTACTTATACACACTGCCTCTTTCCAAAAAGACAAGAGAGAACAATTAATTCAAACATACTATGAAACTAAGACGATAAAGGAAACAAACTAATTCTATCAAAATGAATTTATTCAGCATATACTACTGAGTACTTATTATTTGCCAGGCACTATTCTGGAGATTCAGCATTGAACAAAAAAGGCCAAAACTGCCTATCTTCTTGGAACTTACAATCTAATGAAGGAGTGTATGAAGTAACTAAAGAAATATTGAGTATCATGTCAAATTTATACAAGTTTAAGAAAAATAATAAGCCCAAAGATTGTGTTGAGAACATATTCATGACCTCTGAAGGAAACTCCATTAGTAATCACTCCTCTCCTTCAATTAGCTCCCTGACATGCACTAATCTGCTTTCTATTTCATTGGATTGGACTACTGGACCTTTCATCTGAAAATAATCGTACAATAACGCAGTTTTTAGTCACTGGCTTCTTTCCCTTAGCATGTTTTCAAGATTCATCCCTGTTGTAGCATGTATTAGTAGTTCACTCCTTTTTATGGATGAATAATATTCCACAGTGTAGGCACACCAAATTCTGTTTATTCATCTCTCAATTGACATTTGGCTTGTTTCTATGAATAATGTTTCTATGAACAATTATGTGGATTTATGCTTTCATTTCCCTTGAGTATATACCTAGGGATGGAACTGCTGAGTCATATGATAACTCTGCTTAACTTTTTGAGAGACTGCCAAACATTTTCAAAGTAACGGCACCATTTTACATCCTCACCAGCAAAGTACGAGGGTTCTGATTTTTCCACATTCACTGACAGTTGTTATTGTCTGTCTTTTTTATTATAGTCATCCTAGTGGGGTGGAATCATAATTTTGATTTGTATTTCTCTAATGACAGGTAATCTTGAAATATGTAAGAAATTATGAAACTAATCATGCCTACTTTCCATTATGCTAGCAATTTTAAACTTACTATCCTACAAAAATAATTTAAAAGAAAAAAAGCAGCTTTACATACTAAATTGTTCATAACAATTTATTTATTATAGGAAGGAAAAATAATAACCCACTACTTACAGTCTAAATGTCCAACAATCAGTAAAAATTAAAAAATATATACATCTAGCAGCCTCCTGCCTTTCTCCTTGCCTTAGGTGTATCTCTTCCTCCACACACCCCATCATTCTACCACAACACATACCTGGCTTTCCCTGATCAGGCCACACTGTTCCTATGCACCCATGACCTTCCTTCACTCTGCCTGACCACTCCTTATTCCTTTAGGTCTGCTTAACCATCACCTCTTTCCTAACACTCCCCCCCTCCCCACCAAGTTTCTTTCTTGGGCATTCTGGAATTATTCTGCAATTATTTCAATACAATGTGATTATTTGTGTATGTAACTGCATTTATTTCAATATTTAAAAGACTCCAAACATCATATCACAGAACACAAACTCAAATGACCTCTGGACAACTGAGAGGTTCAACCTCATCAGTAGCTGGGTAAGCAAAATTTAAAATCATAACCAGGGGGCCTCCCTGGTGGTGCAGGGGTTAAAGTTTCAGTGCTATCGAGCTATCACCAGCCACTGTGGCATGAGTTCAATCCCTCAGCCAGGGAGCTGACCCACATGGCACGACAGGCCTCACCTGTCTTACCCGCTGCTCCCCTCAGCAGTGTATTTCAGTAGATCCACCTATTCTGCTCCCCACTCTGTCTCTGGTGAATCCTCTCACCCCCTACACTGCTGGCCTATACCCCAGAGCTCTTGTATGCATAAATAAAATAAAATAAATCATTATAAAAAATAAAATCATAACCATTTCACACGTATCAGACTGACCAAAAAAAAAAAAAAAAAAAAAAAAAAAAGAAAGTTACACATTCCAGACTGCTGGTGGAGCAACAGGGAGTCTTATATACTGTTAGGTAAGTAGACATGCGTGTAGCCCCAGTTTGGAAGGCGCTAACAGTACCCACTGAAATTGAACATGCTTATAACCCAGAGCATTACAATCAGGGATATATCTTACAACAGTAATTCTCAAATTTTTGTGTGTGCTGGAATTACCTGAAATGCTGGCTAAAGCACAAATTGCTGGACCGTACTCCAGGGGTGGGCTCCATTTCTAGCAAGTTCCCAAGTGATGTGGATACTGCCAGTCCAGGGACCACAGAACCACTCGTTTAAAAGGAAAGATGGAAGCAATTTGGGAGAAAATGTATACAAGTGAGGTTTACTGATTATGTGATTTTAGAAAGTATTTAAAATATTTTCCTTTGCTAATATTAAAATTCAAACAATTCACTGTTGTGAATGGGTGGATTTTATTGCATATAAATTATAACTTAAAGTTATAAAAATGAAGGCTTTGGGATGATGAAAATGTTTCAAGACTAGATCAGATATTAGGCAGATGGTTGCACAATTCTGCAAATACATTTTAAATGTGTATGCATACTTTCAACCTGTAAATTATATCTGAATAAAGCTGTTTTTTAAAAAGGTAACTACTGCAATTGCTTAGTGCATATCAACTAGTAATGAAAAGTACTGGCTCAGGGGGTTAATGAATAAGACTTAATTTAAAGCTACAGTCTGAGCTATGAATGCTTTTTGTAATTTTAAAGGGGGAATAAGGAATAATCAGAAGGAGGTAAGGAGGAGAATCAACAGTAGCAAGAGAGATTGCAACTAATTAGGTCTAAAATATTTACTATCTGGTCCTTTACATAAAATGACCTCTTTTTAAAAAACTTACCTATGCCTAGCAAATTTTTTTTTAAGATTTATTTTTATTTATTTATACAAGCGGAGGGTACAGTCAGAAGCTTGGGAGGGTGAGAGAATTCACTAGAGCCAGAGCGGGGAGCAGAGCAGGCAGAAGGACCCAAGTACACTGCTGAGGGGAGCAGCAGGCAGCAGGAGAGGTCTGCGCGCCATGTGGGACCCTCCTCTGGTGGCCGGGGAGCAGCCGGGGATCGAACCGGCGCTGCAGAGGCCGCGGGCAGCTTCGCAACCCAGCGCTCAACCACTGCACCACCGGGGAGGCCCTGCCTAGCAAAATTAATCAAGGAACCAGCTTAATAAAAGAGAAGGAGAGAGAAGATTGAAATACCAGCAGGTTTGTGACTGGGGAGGAGATGCTAATAACAGAAGATAAATTCATTCATACTGCTACTTCAGAGTGAACTATAGAGGCCCAGAGGTGGTGAACAAAGTGGTCTGCCCTTGAACACAGAAAGAAGGCTGGTCAATCTGGAGGGCCCTCAGGGGCCTGGTCTCTTCAGCAGGACAGCAGGAGCCCAACAAAAGCAACTGTCAAGGGCTGACGCGTGCAGGTGTGCTCTCGTGAGAGAGATACTTTGAAGAGGATGATCGGAACTGGAGGAACTAAATGATGGGAGTAACCAAAGTGAAATTCTGCACAAGTTTATTGATTGGTTTTGCCTGTTACACATAATAAAGAAGCCGCTAGACTTTGCAGGGAAGTCGGCGTGCGTTTTTTGGCTCGCAAAAAAAAAAAAAAAGAAAGAAAGAAGGCTGGTCAGCAGGTTTGTGCATACCCAGGAGGATGCTGAACAGGATGCTGGTACCAAAAGAGGCTAACCAAGGTCAAAGGAATAAAAAATAACAAAGAAAGCACACAAAGGAAGTAAAGATAAAAGTAGAAGAGAATGAGGAAGAGAACAGAAAACTAGGTTTAGTAAT